AAATCACAAATAAAATTAAATGTAAAATGACAGATTGTGATTTGAAAATTGCTTTATTATACTTAGAATCAAGGAAGGTTTTCAGTTTACTTGTACTATTTCTTTTATGTTCTTTTTGACTAGTTAGGTAAAGTAATTTAAAACCAGCTGTGTATTGGTGCTGTTTTTATGGAATCTTATGTTGATCTGAAGTGTATTCTGAGCTTTTAATTTTTGTTATCTAGACTAAACCACGATTTGAGCTGCACTGTTCCAGTGATGTGATCCATATTCGTACCTGCTCCGATTCATGTGCTGCATTAATGAATCTAATACAATATATTGCAAGTTATGGTGATTTACATCCACCTGCTAAGACAGAGATTAAACGTGGAGTTAGCAAGCCAAAAATGAAGGTATAAAACGTGAAATAATATCAACTTATCTTGATGTTTCCTTGGTACTATGTTTTAATTTTGATGTCCCTAGTCTATTTCTTGTAAAGAAATTAACAGATTTATCTAGCTTAAAATATATTTGAGAGTAAAATGGTGACTTTTTTTTTTTTTCCTACTTTGGTCACTACTTAATATTTTAAAATATTTTGTGCTGTTTCGCTATTGCACTTTATTCTTATCTAAAGGAGGAAATTCCAGGACATGTATAAACTGTCCAAGTGTTCTGATGGTATAAATACCCTGAACCATAATGTTCTAACCTACTTTTTGAATCATCGAGCTTGGAGTTTCAGCTCACTTGATTATTCATAAAGTTAAGGTGTTACTTCTTACAGTTTTAGATATGTATCAAGCCATTCTAGCAAAATTTTGTTCAGAACAATGTTGCAGTTGTCTTTAAGATGTAACTATGTATAGTGCCGCTCTTATAGGTAGAGACCTTTAGCCAACCATCTTCCCATGGACCAGGCCTTGCTGAATCAGATCAACAGATTTTACGGGATTTAATGAGTGATGCAATGGAGGAAATTGAGACTCAACAGACTGCCTCTGCTGTGAAACCAGAGTCTAATGGTAAGAATCCCCTGGAGGCTTAAGTACATATGAACTACAGCCTTTTTGAATGGAAAGAGGTATTGAAAGTTTTCATGGAATAGAATCATAGAATGGTTTGGGTTGGAAAAGACCTTAAGATCATCTAGTTCCAACCTCCTTGCCATGGGCAGGGACACCTCACACTAGACGATGTTGCCCAAGGCTCTGTCCAGCCTGGACTTGAATGCTGCCAGGAATGGAGCATTTACTACTTCTTTGGGCAACCTGTTCCAGTGCCTCACCAGCCTCACAGTAAAGATTTTTTTTTCCTTATATCTAACTAGAACTTCCTCTGTCTTAATTACCCCTTGTCCTGTCACTACAGTCCCTGATGAAATGTCCCTCTCTGGCATCCTTGTAGGCCCCCTTCAGATACTGGGAGGCTGCAGTGAGGTCTCCACGCAGCCTTCTCTTCTCCAGGCTGAACAGCCCCAACTTTCTCATATGGGAGGTGCTCGAGCCCCCTTATCATCCTCCTGGCCCTCCTCTGGACTTGCCCCAACAGTTCCATGTGCTTATGTTGAGGACACCAGAACTGCACACGGTACTCCAAGTGGGGTCTAAGGAGAGCAGAGTAGAGGGGCTGGATCACCTCCTTCAACCTGCTGGTAATGCTGCTTTTGATGCAGCTCAGTATATAGTTGGCTTTCTTGGCTGTGAGCACACACGGCCAGTTCATGTTCAGTTTCTTGACCATTTTGCCAAAAAAGAATGGGAGCATAACTTTGATGTCTGAAGTCTTCAAACTATCAGATTCTTGCTTTTAATAAAAAAAAGTAATAAAAACAGTTTATTAACAAAATAGCAAAACAATTTAAAAATCTTAGTCAAATACACATTATTGAGATAGCAAAAACAGCAAGGAAGGAATCTGACTGTGGGACTCTGTCAGGACTCTATGTTCTCCAGGAGTAAAAGTTGGTATGGGTGTAAGTTTATATGGCATACTGCGGTGTGGAGGAGTTGAACCTCTATTCTGTGTATGGAGGCAGTTCAGGAGCATGGTACGGTTCTTCTAGTTAGCAGATAGAACAAGATAATTGTTTTTATCATATGGTTAGAGTTAAATCCAGGTTTAAATTGGCTAAGGGTTTTGTATTGCAAATGGGGAATGTCACTATTTCCATGGTGTCTGGTCTTCTTGTTGCTGGTAGAAAGTGAGCAGTCAGTGTAGTACTGAGTTACCGATGCTGTGGTCTTACTACCAGAATGAGAAACTTGGACACAAAATTTTGTTTTTTTGTTTGTTTGCATCTGTGGGTTCTTTTTCAAATTGTTTTTCTGTATTTTCTCAGTTCATTTCTACTGTTAACTGGTGATTAAGTTAAAGGAAGAAGTTCTTTTCAGTGAGGGTGGTGAGGCACTGGAATGTGTTGCCCAAGGAAGCTGTGAATGCTCCATCCCTGGCAGTGTTCAAGGCCAGGTTGGATGGAGTCTTGAGTGTCATGGTTTAGTGCGAGGTGTCCCTGCCCATGGCAGGGGGGCTGGAGCTAGATGATCCTACAGTCCTTTCCAACCCAAACCATTCTATGATTCAAACTGTGTTCACTTCAAATTGTAAAGTAGATTTTTTTAATTGTTTTTTATTTATAGTAGGAATTGATTCGAGATACAGTAAGTAACTTGATGTAGTTGAAGTAAAATATTTTAGTTAACTGTTAGGTTATTTTGTTTCTACTTTCATATTTTGTAAAGATTTTTCCACTGAAGTGTGTTTTTTCTCCACCCTTCTTCAATTCCCAGGAATTTTGGATGACAGATCTCAAACTCAGGAGCCATCTTGCTCAGATCTCTTCTTGTTTCCAGATGAAAGTGGAAATATCTCACAAGAGCCAAGTCCCACTTACGATTCATTCACTCATCACCTGATAAATGAGGCCATGGGAGATGTTCCCACAGAAAGTGATGATTTCTGTATTCTTTTTGCACCAAAAGTTGCTGTTGCTGTAAGAATCTTTGAAAATTACTGTGTAATATATACGTATAAGATAAATTACAGAAAAGCCTATGTAAGACCTGGGCAAAATAGACTTCATAGCTTTTTATGATTGCTTTGTGAGTAGGCAGAGTGGCAGAAAAGTAATCTTCATTTTCAAGGACTTCATGCATCATTACTGTGAGGAATGAATGCAAGTATTTTCAAATAGATATGATTTTTCCTTATCTCAGCAGTAGGTAGTTGTTGTCTGATCTGAATATTACTTTGAACCATATTGGCAATTTTCCTACGTTTTTAGTTATGTTTCATCATTGCCAATTTAACTTAACAGTGATAGCATAGTTAGAAAAAAAATATTTTAAGCAAAACACAGTATTTATCAAAATAGCAGCTTTGCACATCTGCTATTATTTTATTAATTTATCTTCTAGTCAAAGCTTTCAATGCTTTTATGGACTGAAGATCTTTGCCAAACCTCAGAGAAAAGCTTGTGTGTCACTTTACTCCTCTCTCTCCACTGCATAAAAAGATTTAGGAAACTACACTCAAACTCTTTGAAAACAGCTTGTGTTCATGTTTTTCATAGTATCTCTGGTTGTACTCCTCATAATAGGTGGAAGTAGTTCTAAGTCTCTGATTAGAAGCTGTATTTGCCCAGTTATCTTTGAGCTTATTTGTTTCCAGAAGTGCTAATATGGTAACCTGGGCTCTTCATGTTTTTTTTTCTTTGTTTACAACTCTTGTTTTGGTTTGTTTACAGTTTCAATAAGGTAGTTTGGGTTTTTTTTTTTAACATTTCTCAGCTTCTAGTTTATTTTTACATTTTTTGGTCTCTTAAGTTACTTTATAAGAATAATTCCTAAACCAAGCCTTTTTTGTATATGCTTTAGAAAGACAGTACAAAATAGTTTCTTTTCAAAGGTAGGAAAGCAGATTTCACTTTTTCATGCTATATACTTTTTTTTTTAATTAGGAAAAAGAGGAAGAGCCAGTAATAAAAATACTGGTTGATGATGCAATTATCATAAAGGAAAATCATTTCAGCCAACCTATTAAAAAAACAGATACAAGCAAAGCTCCCCTTCATTTTCCTGTTCCTCTGGTACGCTATGTTGTGAAGGAAATCTCTCTTATTTGGCATCTCTATGGTGGAAGGGATTTTGGGACTGCACCACCAGCATCTCCAGCTAAAAGTTTCATGTAAGTATTTGATGAAGTTCTGAGGATTAGAACATTTAAAAATACTTAATTTTCCTTTGAGGTTAATCTCACTATTCAATCCCAAATCTCCCTCTCTTGCTTCTTTGCTTCCTTCTCACAAGGAATCAATCATAGAATGGTTTGGATTGGAAGGGACCTCAATCATCTAGAATATTCTTACAAAGTTTAGCTCCACACACCAGAGTGTATTTTTCCTGTGTCTTAACCTGGACAACTTGGCATTGGGTTTGGTGGGTTTTTTTGGGATGGAGGGATGGGTTTTCCTTCTAAGGGTTGTATTATAAGTTAGGTTTTCCTGAAGAGCTTAGAGCTTAAGGAGCATGAGAGACTCACTGTGGTAGCTGGAGTCTAGTCTTCAGCATGTTATGTAAGCTAATGAGTAATTAAAGAAAATTAAAAAAAAAAAAAAAAAAATAATAAAAGAAATGTTTCATGAATGTTAATTTGGTGGGAAGCATACACCTTGCATTCTGCTTTAAGTATGCATTACGTGAACAATAGAAAAGTATTTGGTTAACAGTAACACAGGTTCCGGTTTGGTTGGTTTTTTTGTTTTTTTGTTTGTTTTTTTTTTGATGTGTGATTTCTAGTATTTTTCTCTCGTAACTGTTAAAATACTATTAAGTTATATCCAATGAAATATATACAGTTTTAGTGTTAGATTATAGTTCATAAATTTAATCTGCAAAAGTGTGTTTTTTTTGTTTATTTCCTCAGAAGTCCCCATAGTTCCCCTTGTCATACACCAACAAGGCATGGACGGAGCACAGCATGTGGAGGAAGAGGAAGAAACCCAGACTTCCTGATGGAAATACAATTAAGCAAGGTGAAGAAATAGCTTCAGAGATGCTTGTGTGTGACTATCTTAACATGCTATATCTGTTCGGTAACAGCTTTCTATTAGAATTCGGTAGGATTTCTTCCATTAGTATCTGCATCTAAGCAATATGAAGGTGACAAATTTAGAATTTATCAAAAAATTTATTCTTCTAGAATAGTATTATTTACTTGCTGAATAAACATGTTTCTAAAGATGAAAGATATTCAATGTTCTTAAAGTTTTTATTATAAACATGTTTTACAGTGACTGTTCTGCTTTTCTGTCTTCAGTTCTACTCTGAATTCATACATCTATTATGAAATTGAATTTTCTAGCAAAATAACCAGGATGTAGATCTGTTGAGACAGTGTATCAGTTTAGTAACTGGATGTTAGATAGCGTCCAGTTATATGACAGTATCGTACCTGTATTTCCTTTAATGTTTTAGCGCCCTTCAGGCATAAATATATTACTGTTGTTTTTAAGCTTGTGCTTAGCTCCAACATATAAACTAGATTCTTGATTCTGGCACTGTGAAGAACATTGTCAAGAAGGTAATCAAATTTCATGTTAAATGGATCAATAACAAAACCTTTTCAAAATAAGGCTTTCCAAACATTTCTGTAAACATGAAAGGTACTACATAAAACTGAGTACCTTTTATAGTCTACATGCATGTCTAGGGCTTAAAATTCATCCTGTTAGCACTCCAAACTTAAATGCTTTTTCTAGAAAACACATGACATTGTAGTAAAAAAAGGAAAAAAGTAAACATTTAATATTCTGTGTGAAAAGCTGAATGTGTAGAAGTATAACAATCTGTCTTAATTTGCAGGTGTTTAATGAGTTGGTATTAGTACTGAGGCATAAAGGGCTGATTTTTTTTTTTTTTTTTTTTTTTTGGGTTTTTTTTTTCCCCCCCTTTTTTTTTTTTGTTTGTGGGTGGTGGTTTTGGGGTTGGGTTGGGTTGGTTTGGTTGTGTTTGTCCCTCCCTCCCCAACCCCCCACCTTGATACAAGGCTTAATAATAATGATGATGCTTAACAAGAAATTAAGGCAAAGAGTGTGGAAAACATAAAAGTTCTGAGCAGTGATTGTGAGAAACATTTATTTTTCCCTTCAGCACTTCAAATGTTCTAGTTCACATGGTATCTTGAGTACAAGGCACTTAAGTAGTGTGGTTTTTAACATCAGTATCTGCAGTAGAGGCCACTATTCTGTTTTTATGTGTGCTCTGCTTCATTACATTGCAGTCCAGGATGCTATGGGGAATGATTTGTAGGTAACCACAGGTTTCTGAAAATGAGAACTCATCACAAGAGATGAGGAGAAGGAGGGAATTCAGAATTCTTTAGAACTGATGAAAGGTAATGGATTATCACTTATGTGGACTAAGGTGAGTAAAGAAAAAGGAAATGGACTGGAAGCTACTTGAAAAGTCTGTTCATAGGAAAGGTTTCTTCCCTAAGTGTAGAAGGTGTGGGACTCAAGAATTGTGAGATTGCTCAGTACAGGCTTCAAAGTGCTGCAAGAAACATCTCAGGGTTGAGAGGAGTCAATATTAAAACAAAAAGCAAAATTTGTTCTTTGTCTTACACTGACTCTTTGTTTTTGTTTGGAATTTGCATCTTAAAATATGAATAGGTGCACAAGTAAGAATTGGAAAATTTCAACTGCTAGACATACAGAAATCTGAATAGTTTTCAGAAATCCTGATATTATTCCTCTAAGTTTAAAATAGTAGACAGGCTTTAAAGTTCTTATGAGTGGTGGTGATTTTTTTGTTTTTGTTTGGTTTTTTTTTTTTTTTTAAATAGTATTCTATTGTTGATGGTTGATTTTCACTGAAGCTGATTGATTATGCTAGCTTTCTTTCCTTTTTAAAAGGTGAAATTCCAGCATGAGGTGTACCCTCCAGGTGGTGCGGAAGGTGAATCCTGTCTGTTGGAGCAGCCAGTGTCACGGCAGGTTTTTATTGTTCAAGACCTCGAGATCAGAGATCGCTTAGCTACATCACAGATGAATAAATTTCTCTATCTCTACTGTAGTAAGGAGATGCCCAGAAAAGCACATTCAAACATGGTACAGTTATGGAATATGTTAATTCATTATATGTTACATATGTTATTTGCGGTTGGACTGTCATTGTGGGCAGTATATAAATTTCTTGATCTTGCAGAAGAAGGAACACCGAAGGTCATGGAACATTGAAGTAATACAGCTTGTTGATTTGCTTGACTCCTTGTGGATATTGAAACAAAAAGTTTGAATATTAGTACATCAAGTATTAATGTTTTTGAGATTCTGTCAGTTTAAAAAAGTGGATTTGCAGGACCACTTTGGTAGCTTTCACATTCTGGTTTTGAACAAACATATGAGCATGATTAGAGTTTTCACTACACGTGCAGAATTACAGTTTTATGGTATAAAGTAGTCTTACTGGCTCTAGAAGGGATTTACGAATTTGGTTATTTGGGGGTTACTTTTTTATAACATCAATAATATGTTACTTATGCAATAGTAGTTTTATTATAGGTAGGTGGAATTGGATTAGTACAAATGTTTTGTAGTAGAAGTTTTTTCTTGGCTAGTGTTCTGATATTTAATAATTGTGAATGTTACTACTTTTATCTTTTTGCTTATTTTCAGTTAACAGTTAAAGCATTACATGTCCGTCCAGAGTCTGGCAGATCCCCGCAGGAATGTTGTTTACGTGTTTCACTAATGCCACTTCGCCTCAATATTGACCAGGTCAGTTGTGCCAATGCAAAAAAACCCCAAAAGAAACAAAACCAAAATCAAACAACAACAACAATAAAAAACCAAAACAAAAAAAAACCCAAAACAAAAAAATCCCACACATAAACAACCCCAGAAACAAACAGACAAAACCAAAACCCAACTGCTTTTTATTTATTTAATGATAGTGGGGATTTCTAACAGATGCTTGTATCCATCATACATGTCATATGGGATTGTTTTCTTGGTTTGATACCTTTTTTATGGTCAGTCACACGTATCTTTGGGCCTATGCCACTTTGTTTATATCCTTGTTAAAACTTGCCTTCTGCTTAAGCTATTGGTGAGACTAGCCTCTTTCTTGTTTTAATTTAAAAACTAAAAATATTTCTAGACCTGGTTGGTTGCTCAATAATGCTAGTTTACTTCCTAAGACTTCTGATGATAGTGAATGTTTTGAAATCACAGCTTTTAAAAAGCCATGTACTTATTCTTGAATGATCTTGTTGTGTTTGTTCATGAAGTGGCTTTGGTGTTTTAAATTGAAAAAAGTTAATTATTAGTCTAGCAGCTGTTCACAACATTCTAGTCAAGTACATCTGATACTTGAGGGCTACTTCTATGCTCTGAAGGCTTTGGTCTCACTATCAACTGCATGAGTAACAGAAATGGGAGAAATTGTTTTACTTTCTTTAGCAACGTATTTGTCATATACTCAAGAAACAATTGTGTTTTTTTCCTCTGCACCACTAAGAAAACTACGTAAGTTCATGCATTCAAATATAAAGTGTGGTTATTGCTCTTTGAGGCATTTCTTGCTTAATTTGTCATCTGCAGAGAATACGGATTTGTTTTGGGTTTTTGTTTATTTGTTTGTTTTATGTTTCCCTCAACACACATGAGAGACCAGGTTTTCGTTTTACTGTTAGAAAAATTGAACTCTATGGTTTGTAATAATTTCATATAGAAAAATAGCTTGCAAATACTGCCATCTAGTGAAGAAATATGTTCCCTCTTGATTACTTTTCTAAGTCTTTTATCTTCTGTACTGTAAACAGAATTCACCTTTACAACTTCTGCAAAATAGCCACAGATTTTTTGGAAGCACAGGCTGCATGCAGTCATGTTAGAAATTCTTATTACAACTTAAGCTGTCTGCATATCACTTAGAAATAAAAAAGGAAAAGAAGTCCAAGTATCATTAATGATCGGATGAACAAGGCACCAGTGTGATGCATCTGTCAAAAAAAAGTAATATAATAACTTCAACATATTAATAAGAAATTAATAGCAGATGTTAATGAAGCAGTGGTAAGATCTGATCTGGAGTAATTTGTCTGACATTGGCAGTATTAGAGATGAATATAAACGATACTTGAATACCCTTTATTGGAAATTGGAGGAAATCTTATAGCCATTAAACACTCAGGTTCTGAATCAGTCTCCAGAATGAGACTAGAGGTGACGAAAACAACTCTGGAGTTCAAAACAGAGCTAGATAGATTATGAAATCATATTATATGTAGCAGGGGGCAGTAAGTAAGGTGGTCTTCCTGATTGCTGTCCTAGGTTCTTCTGCGTATGTTAAAGAGTCAAAAAGAAGAAATGTGTTTTGATTCATATCCAAAAGAGCTGGAATAGTAGATAATTATTATTTTTTATTTTTTTTTTAAGAGAACTATGGAGTCATTCGTTTATTCTTTTTTTAACCTGATTGTATTTTATTTTTGACATTAGGATGCCTTGTTTTTCCTGAAGGATTTTTTCACTAGCCTCTCTGCAGAAGTAGAACTCTTAGTTACTCCAGATCCTGAAGGTACGCTTTTCAAAAATGTAGCATGAAAGTGCTTCTTCATGTGTCTGTAAATTCACATGTGAATCTTGTGTGTCTAAAAGAACTTACGTTAATGACCAAACCCCAACATTAATAACTAATTGTTAGAACACAGAAACTTTCGGAACTTTAGGTAGTTTAGCTTTGTATTTTATAAATTGCAACAAAGGTCTTCAACATCTGGAATCTCCACTGTATAAAAGATTTCACCAAAACTGGAGCGTATTATCAGAACTTCTGAAGAAATTGAGGGCTGTGTGTACAATATTTTGAGTTATTAAATATATTATTTAATACCTCTTGTGTGGAAGAGTTTGTCTAATAGCTTGAAATAGTGTAACTGCTAGAGAAACAGATTTCAAGATTATAAATAAGGAGTGCAGTGTATGTATACAATTAAAGCAGTACTTCTAATCAACCATCTGATGCAAAACCCAGTATACACTTAAATGCATATTTCCTCTATTAACTGTATTTGTGAGTTTGTTAGCAGCTATAATTTACCTATTTCTATTGAGATGTCATACTGAAATGCATAAGTAATGAAGTACTCTGCAATACTGCTGTTAAAACTAGATGGATTATTTATGCTGATGCATAAATCTCAATTTAGCTTCTTGTAACAATTTCAGTTGAAAACTAAGATATTTTCTTACTAAAAGAATCTAAATATTGTGCTGCTAGTAATTCCTATTAATAAGCATTAGAGCTTACTGAGGACACAGTAATTGTATAAACACAGTCTTTTTGTAATTGCTGTGAAAAATATGAGTCAGTTTATTGTGTATGACTTCTTCTCTTAGTTAAGAAGTCTCCTGGTGCTGAAGTTACATGTAGTTTGCGCAGGCATGTCAGCAGCCTTAAGGAACCAAGTCCAGTCATTTCTTTCTCATCACACAAACAAGCAAATGAAAATGGTAGCGTGGATTCTATAGATGTGGTTAATGGAGAAGATCATTATTTCCCACAAGAAGTGATGTCATACAGTGATCAGCCAGTATTTTTCAGGTAATCTTTCATTACAGGATTTCTAGTGACACATGGCTGTTCTGTTGAGTGTTTTAAGAAAGTATGACAATAAACTATTCAGACCTTATGATGAGGTACATTTTTTTTGTTTGTTTGTTTATTGACTGGTTATGAAATAAAATGTATTTGCTTTGTCACTGAAAGGTGACTAATAATTTTAACTCTTGCACACTACTGTGCACAAGACAATTAAATTAAAACTCTCCCATGCATAGAACCAGTTATGAGATGTTTCACAAAGAAATAAAAAGAACAGTCTTTGTACTCTAACGTCTGACAATGTAAATTAGTTCTAATATCATTGGAGATGAAAGTATATGAAGGAAAAGGATATCACGGGAGAGGTACAAGATCAAAATATCAGAAGAGAAATTCTAATTTAGTCCTGACTGGGAAGTGATGATGAAAATTGCAGCTTATTATGAGGAAATTTTTTCTCATGTTTTCAGATCGTAAGTGCCTCTAACCACAGATGTGTGCTTTGGTAGGCTGGGCAGAGCCAAATTACGAGAATGGCTATGGTTCTGTTTCATCACATAATCACCAGCAGAATTTTTTAATAGGTTCCAGCTGCAAGGCTAAATTTTGCCTGTAGAACCATCACTAGCCGTAATTTTTTTTTTTTTTTGGTTTTGTAACTGAAATTGATGCTGTGAAAATTAAGGCAAGATGTTCACCTGCAGGTTTAGTAGGTTTTGCACGATTGTTAAATTTATTATAAATGCTAACCTTGACTAGATGTTAATAAACCAAGATAAGCTGAATTTGCCACTGATTTTGTATACTTGCTCTGAAATACGAAGACAGTAACTAGAGGATTTCTGGCTTCCAGAAAAGGGAAAGCCATGGGTTTCTCCTTGGAAGGATAATTTTATTTCCTTTCATGTTTCTCACTGAAAAATTTCCTTTGTGTATCCCAGAGAATTTCGTTTTACATCAGAAGTTCCAATACGGCTTGATTACCATGGCAAACATGTATCAATGGATCAGGTTAGTGTATAATGCTGGTGCTGTAGAAAAAAATAGATGTTGTTTGCTTTGTTTCCCCCACCCTCCCCCCTTACCCTCCCCCGTGAGTTGAGGTGTGTTTTTATGTCCCTACTCATTATGGATGTGATCTTGAGAAATCTAGAACTTCTCCCCTGCACCCTCCCACTTAGTTTCAATAAAGCTTAACCTTGTTTCACTCTTATTTTGAAAACTAGAGAGTGGATCCTCCAGGTGTGATTAACTCAGAATGAGACTTTCAGTCACATTGTCGACTCAGTGGCTGTCTGGAAATTTTTCTGTACAGCTGTGGTGCCCTTCAAAGGGTAATACCACTGTCTGATGCCAGAATTGTGCATTTTATTTTTTTCTTCATGTAATACCAGAGTAAAGCCTTTTTCTTCTCCCTGTTTCCTTCCCATGAAGTCAAGTAGTGTACGGGCCTCATTGTCAATGGCAGAATTTAATACAGATTAGAAAATGCTAATAGTTCTCTTTAAAGTATGTATTGGTTATCCTACTGAGTTTACAGAACAGACCTCAAAAAATCCTGTTTGCGCAACCAGATTTATACTTGGTCATGGCAAATAGTAAGAAAATACGGACCAGTAAAAGCAGCAACTCCTTGCATTTGCACTGCTGCTGAGAAAAATGAAAACATGAAGTAGCAGCTTTAGAATGCCTGGAACACGCTAATGCCAGAGCTACATTTACATCATTTCTTGTATCTTAATATTTCTGGAGAAGCTTTCTTGTTATCTAGGTGTTTTCTTAGAGCTGCTAGTTAAGCTAATTTCTTCTTCTGCAAGTGTTCATGTAACAGATCATAGCACTGTAGTGAGCAGTACTTGGGAGACTGGAGTAGAATCAATTTAGACAGAAATACCTGCAATAAGAGTTGAGATGTTGAAATTGCTTCTCACCTACAGATTGTATAGAATGAGTAAACTAACATAATAACACAGTATTTCACTTACAGGGGACACTAGCTGGGATTCTTATTGGGCTTGCTCAGTTAAACTGCTCAGAATTAAAGCTGAAGAGACTTTGTTACAGGCATGGGTAAGTTTATCGAATTGTAGGTTAACATTGGTACTGCAAATTGGACTGAACGCAGCAATCAAAAAGCAGACTCTATAATAAGATGGAGTTGTAAAATCCAAGACGCTTTTTGACTGCAAATATTTCTTGATTCTAGTTTTCATCAAATATATAGCATTCAAGAAGAACATTAATTTTCAGGACAGTAATATATGTGCTAGTCTTGGTGCTAAACTCTTAATTTTAGCCACACGTTTATTTCTTATTGAACTGGATGTGATTATGCAGTCTTGAAGTTCAGTGGAGTACATAACATGCAAAATGCTTGGGTTAGCCAACATCAACAGAAAATGACACTTGAAAACAGCTTTTCTTAAAATGTTGTTGTTTACTTCAATGAATAATGTGTTTTTCTTATTAGGAATCATATGTTTGAAAAAATGTAATAATTTTATTTGCTTTAGTTTATTAGGTGTGGATAAATTGTTCTCCTATGCCATCAGTGAATGGCTTAATGATATAAAGAAAAACCAGCTACCAGGAATTTTGGGAGGAGTAGGGCCCATGCATTCGCTAGTGCAGTTAGGTAAGTTAATTCTTATTTCTATTCAGACGCATACAGCATTTTCTTTAAAAAAACAAAAAAAATCTGACAAAAAAACCTCCAACATATTCAGTGTTGACGCTTGTTTTCAGTTCTCTCAGTTCCTCTCAAGGCAATCAGAATGTCTAAGAGAGCTTTCTAACTATGGTGTTATGTCTTCATTTTCAGTCCAAGGTCTGAAAGACTTAGTGTGGTTACCAATAGAGCAGTACCGAAAGGATGGCCGTATTGTAAGAGGCTTTCAAAGAGGAGCAGCTTCTTTTGGCACTTCCACTGCAATGGCAGCACTGGAGCTAACAAACAGAATGGTTCAGACTATACAGGTATAGTGTGTTACTTCTGGAGTTAAGAGAAAACCTAAGAAGTGTTGCTAGTAAGTGCTCTATATTAAGCTAGTATCTTACTGCTATGTATTTAAGGTTGGAGCATATCCTTTAAACAAGAGTAAATAGAAGAGCTTGCAGCAGTCTGTGAGGAGAGAGCTATGGCATCGATGGTTAGAAATGATGTTAAAATATTGCTAAACACCCAAGTTGTTACATGTTTCTTAATGTCTTCATTGTATTCCAATGTACAGTTTAAAAATACTCAGCTGCACAAAAAAACCCACTGATACTGAGAAGGATGAGTTCTTCACACACATGTATTTTCCAGTAATAGATTCTTAACTTTTTTAAAAATGTCAGCTTACCTGTACTTAATCTAAAAAAAAACAACCAACCAAAAAAAAAGCCTCAAAACCAATACTGATTGATGTACACAGAAGTCTATAAAGCTTTCTAGATTTAACCCTAAAGTAGTCATGGATTAAAGTGTTAAGAAATTTATGTTCCTTAATGTAAAATACATAATGAAGTTATACTTTTATCACCTAGTTTTGCAAAAATGATATATGTGGCTAAGCTTGAACATCTGTAGTAAAAAAAAACAAACGGTGTTATTCGCATGAGTGGAATTACGTGTATGCTTGTGTGTTTCTTTGAAAACATACCATTGATCAAGTACTTCAATTTCTGTCTTGAGCATTTTGTACAGAGTAGAAGATGCCTTTGAAGGAATGGCAATTAGGGTGGAAAAAAACCTGACCAAAACCTTCAACATTTCTTCTTTCATTGTGGAACTTGTATAGTTACAGCTGCACTCATTCCAGAAGTTCTTTTAGAAACCTTAATCTGACGTAAATTAACGTCATTTTTGGAATTAGAACTCTTCTTATTTCAATTATGTCACCCTATTAGTGGTTTAAGTTTGTGATTTGATTCTGTAAAACTTCTTACATATATTGCATTTGGTCCTGATCTTCAGGCGGCTGCAGAAACTGCATATGACATGGTATCACCAGGACCTACTTTTATTGAAGCAAAAAAGATCAAACGATTCTCTCGCCATCGTTTAGCTCATCAGCCAGTAGACCTACGGGAAGGTGTAGCCAAAGCATACAGTGTAGTAAAAGAGGTGAGTGCAAAAGTAGTTCTCCTTAACCAAACTGAAGAATTATTTTCTAAGATAGCAAATAAAATATTTGTATTGATTTAAGCTGACCAAATGAAGAAAGGGATTTAAATGCTGAATAAGACTCTTCATCAGTAATCTTAAACCAACAGAAAACCTTGCCTGGAAAATTCAGAGAAGAAATAAACCAAGGTGTTATGCACATAAGTGTGAATAGGACTTCAGTGTTCTACAGTTGTGAGGATTTAGTTATTTTGAGACATGCAAACCTGATTTTCCATCCCATGTCATCTGTCTCCCCTTTCCCCTTTCCCTCCTCTCACCCCTTTCCCCTTCCCCTTTCCCTGTTACTTCTGGAGTTAAGGAGTTAAAGCATAATGCTGGATTTGAAAAAAGTGAAGGCTCTCTTTACCATGACAGTGTATAAAAATTAGAATGCTGACCTGGTTTTATTGTACTTTTTGTGTTGTATTTCAAGTAGTTGTACATGATAGCATGTCTGGTAAGTTGGGTCTCAACTGTGGGGTTTTCAGTGAATTCTGTCTTTTTATTTTTTTTTTTTTTTTTTTTAGTAGTTCACAGTACCCAACAGCTTCTTCACTTAATGCACAAGAAATGCCACCAGAAGTTACATGAAATGTTTTCATAATTCATAGTAGTGTTATTTTAGGCTGCATTAGAACAACTGGATCATATTTGTATTAGTATAATTGTACTACAGTTATAATAGAAATCACAAAGAAGATAAATGCTGACCAGTTTCAAGTTTCCCTTAAAATTAGGAGGGCTTGCTTTTTCTTTTCAGTGTAAATAATTTCTGTTTATTTCTTAAAGGGGATTACAGACACAGCCCAAACCATCTATGAAACTGCTGCTCGTGAGCATGAAAACAGAGGAGTAACTGGAGCAGTAGGAGGAGTGCTCCGCCAAATTCCACCAACCGTGGTGAAACCTTTCATTGTCGCAACAGAGGCAACCTCAAATGTTCTAGGTGGAATGAGAAACCAGATCAGGCCAGATGTGCGTCAAGAAGAGTCTCAGAAGTGGCGCCTTGGGGAGGATTGAGATTATAAAGCTGGCTCAGCAGGTAGCAAAGCTGGAAATGCAGAACACTTGCATTGGCAGTTTTGGATGGAGCTCACTTTGTTTTGTCATGCTCATCTCAGGAACAAATGAGGTTGTCAACTACTGTTAGCAAAACATCCAACCAAAAATATTTATGAAGTGAAAAGCAAATTGGTACTTGCTTATACTGTGTGTTACCAATACATTTGGTAGATAGTGCCAAACATAGTGAAGCATGCGCTGCCAACTCAGAGACATGCTTGCTCTATTCTGTTTACCATATTTTTCTTGGTAGATTTAACATCTGAAGCAGCAACCTGTATGGTGAAACTAAATATACTTTAAAGATGATTTTGGAGCATAGTCAAAGAACTGTCTTCAATAAAGGGCTCTGCAGATGCTCTTTACTGACTAAAGGATAAAAGCTTTCATTTTGGACATGAAGTATGAAGGCTGTGTATTATGGAAGCAGATAACATTGGTTAGCGGTCATAAGCATTGCTTTTAGCGTGGCACTTACAGCAAGGGCAAGCTGGATAACCATTCAGAATTTGGATTCAGTGTTGATACACTTATGAACAGGATTTGTTCCTAAATACTAAATACCTACTTTTGTGGGTCTTGGAAGAACCTGAATGTTGCAGAAACGTTCTGTTGTGTTGCACTTTAAATGATATGGCCTGTATATTGTGCTTTTTTTATAGTGTGAATAAAATGTAATGTGCATTATCCTTAAGTGGTTTAGAAGCTTATAAAAATTATTGAAAAAAGCATCATATGATGATGATCCTACAGAAAAGTGTCTTAAATTTGTTTAAACTCATGTTAAAACACTTGTCTTCTGTTACACTAATTACAATGCTAAAAATAACTATCCTTCAGGAAAACAGCACTTAAATATTATTGTGGCCAACCATTCTTTGTAAGAATGAGAAATCCTAAGTAAAGTAAAACCAAATGATTTCTTAGTTAAAATTCTACACAGACTTTAATAATCTGCTTTTATTTAAAGTTCGTATTGTTGCAAAGTTGCTGCTTTTACAAGCTGATTTAAATCATGCATCATGAGTTATTTAACAATGAGTATTTTGGGTCATTTAATTTGACAAAAGACACAAACTTTATTTTAAAAGTTTGGTGCTGACATTATTTACAGTTGAATAGGTGACCAGAGTCTCCACAGAACTTTATTAAGCAACTGACATTATGCCATTTCTGGGCTGTTAAAAGGCTCAGGACTAGCTGTGCAGGAATAAAGTTTTTGTGTGTGTCGTTTCCCCCCCC